AAAAAAAATTAGAATTACAAATAAATTCATTAATAACACAAATTAGTGTTTAATTAAATATAAAAAAACAATGGAAGAGAAAAAGAAAGGAGATTAAGAAAATATAATCCTAAAATTATTTGAATATAATGGAGTTATAAACATCATACAATTAATCTAGTAGTATTTGAATGGAAGAGTAAGAGGTGGGACAGATAAAGGAGGACAAGAAAAAAGAAGAAGAAGAAGAAGAAGAAGGAAGGAAGGAAAGAAGAAATGATCAGGTTAGAGTGTTGTGGATATATATAGACTATTTTACCTGTGTGGTATGTCGGAAATAATTTTACCGACAAACCCACATAGGTAACTAACCTAAAAGCAAGAATCCAAAAAAACAAAAAATTTGCATTCTTGCCGAGATTCATCGACTAGTTTGAACGGACCAAAATTCATATATAACCTAAAATTTATTCAAAATAACAAATCCAACAATACTAATATCAAATACTTAATATTGAAATTTTATCATTAATTATTGAAATTCATTAGAAAATTATCAAAAAAATTATTGGTAATTAAAAGTTTAGCTAAAACAATAGATCTAACAATATCAATTAATATTCAATAAACTAATGAAAATGTTTGATAGTTTAAATTTTTTTTTAAAATCAAGTATTTAAACTTAATGCAAAAATATATAAAAAATAATAATGTTATAGAAATTTCACTTACTGCTACTCGATTCACTCATTATAAGAAGAAAAATGTTAAAGTGATTCTAAGGAAACAAAGGAAGGAGGATGAAAGAATGGAGGAAAGGAAAGCAAGAACTACTTGTTGCCGAAAGAGGAAGACAAAATGAAAGGGGAAATGGGGGTCTTGGTAGGTAAGGGGGAAGCTTACCAATAGGTTCACGTTGGAAACCCGTAAAGCTAATCAACTTTGAATTGCTTCAGGAATCTGGTTGACTAGGATTATCACCGACAAACTTGACATTGGTGTAATGCAAATTATCGACGAAAATATTGTCGGAACATATGAAAAAATTGCAACCTTGACACGAGCAGCCAATTCATTTGGCAGGTTGGAGATTGTGAACCTACCGACAAGGATCACGTCAGTAAACATAAAAAAAAAGTTACAAACCCTGGCACGAGTAGCTGATTCACAGGGTGGGTTGGAGTTTGTGTAGGTATCGATAAGGATCACGTCGGTATATGAGCTACCGGTCCTTGCGCCACCAGATTGAGTTTTTCATAATTTTACAGACAAGGAGCACATGTGTATATCATTAAATCACCGATAAAGATTTTATCTGAAACTTAAATAATATAAATTATTGTAATTTTTACTGTTACTACATTTACATGTATGTTTCTTGTCGGTAAAGTGCTCATTTACCAATAACAAGTTCTACGTTGGTGATTTGGGGTCGGTGATTTTGGGTTTTCTAGTAGTGAGATTACATGCTTTATTCAAAGAACCAATAGAAGGATCCAAAGGTAGAAACATTGAAAACATGAGCCGG